ACCTTTAACATTACACTTAATCCTTTGATCCAAATGGAGGCGAGCAAATGTGAACTTCTTTTAGACCCTTAGGAAGTCATATTGTGCCATTCATATGACAGTATTTTAACAGTTTCATTCAGAGTTAACGATGCATTTCTCATAGATCTTTATTAGATGTTTTGCACTTTAAGAGGATTGTTAATTCATTCTGTAAATGTTCCCATGGTACACACATTAGCTTCATTGTGTATAGTGTACTGAGTATGCAAAATAGTTTAGTATGCACTACTGTATGTCAAAAAACAGTTTGGCATAGCAAGACTTGGGCATGAGTTTTTAGAACATGAATGCTGATGCTCAGGGAGGCCCATAGACCCCCTCCCGCAGTGCTCAGTGTAGAGCAATAGTACATATTACTGGTGTGATTTGAGTGCCCTGGCGCTTGCTTGGCTGCATAAAATGACCAGCTGTGCCTGGAGGGCCTTTAATTAGGTTTCCATCGTGACTCTGACAGAGTCAATGGATCATTGATTTGATTTTCCTTTCAGAAGCTGCTGCTGTGGTTGCTGAGGCCAAATGTCATATCAGGATCATTGGGTTACACAACCGCTTCATCAGGACCTCTCCCCAATGGGCTTACAGGCAGCTATGGGGGCGGGACTTTGTCCAGTCTGTTTGTGTCAGGTCTCATGCAGGTCTCTATCTCTCTTCTCCTTGTGGTTGTTGTCAAGCTGACTAGGCCTGGCCAGTTTCCCCAGCCTAGTGGTTTATTGACACAGCTGTTACCTATCAGCTATCAAGCCACTTGGTATTTAAACCTAGGATCTGCAGTCTGTTCTGCAGCCTTGCACTACATGTTTGGTCAAATCTCTCCTGCTTCAAACATATATTGTCTCTCCTGCCTGACTTGACTATCTCCTGTGTTCCAGACCTGTATGTGCCTGTCGACCTGCCATTTCTTCCCTCTGTATTTCTCCACTCATGTTCTCATTTTCTGGAGTGCTGCTGTGGATTTGACTCCTGCTCTGCCTGCTAGCTCTACTCCTGCCTTGCCAGCCCAGCTCAACCACTGCTCGGCCAAACCTGCCCAACTCTTGCTGCTTCTCTGATCAGCGCCAGTCACCACTGGTCCTGCTCTCTACCAGCTCACCTTTCCAAACTGAGTAATTCTAACTCAGTACCAGCTGCCTCTCATCTACCTCCAGCTCCAAGCCAGCTACCATTCTACCAGTCCTGCTCTCTGTCTACCTCCTGTCTGAGTCATGTGACTCAGATGCCGGGCCTATAGCTACTCTTTCCAAGCCCTGGGTAGATGAGAGGATTCCCTGGATCTCCTCAATGGCTTGTCAGCTTTCAAAGATTGTCAGAAACTACCTTCCTACTTAGTATACTGAAACAATCTTGTACAATAAAAGATTTAAATCTTATTCTGGTGTCTGGGTTCTGCTACCTGAGTTCAGAATTTCTATAGTAAAGACAGATTGTAGTTTGACACTAGACCTCAACTCACCCACATCTGGTGTCTCAGTCCAGGAGGCAGACACCCTCTCTACCTTTAAGATTAGACTTAAGACTTTCCTTTTTGATAAAGCTTATAGTAAGGGCAGGATCAGGTGACCCCAAGCCTTCCCTTAGTTACACTGCAATAGGCCTAGGCTGCTGGGGAGCACATGATGCACTGAGTTCCTCAAACCTCCCCTCTCCTCTCCTATCTCTCCATCCATCTATATACCAACACTACCTGTCACTAACTCTGTGTCTCCTCTCTCTCTCCCTGTACCTTTCTGCAGGTTGCCCTGGCTCTGGAGCTCTATGTCTCTGATGAGCAGTCACCGGCCACATCAACCTGACCAGTGTTTGATTGTTTGTTGTGTCTTGTTGCTTTTCTTTTCTTTTCTCTCTCCTCTCTCCACTCACCCCAACCGGTCGAGGCAGAAGGCCACCCACCAAGAGCCGGGGTTTGTCGGAGGTTTCTTCCGTTTAAAAGTGCTGCTCAAGGAGAATTACCTGGGTTTTCCTCTATAATACCTGTAATAGTGATAATAGTAAGGTCTAGACCTGACTTTGTAAAGAGTGAGATGACTTTTGTTGTGATTTGGCACTTTACAAATAAAATTTGAATTTGATAACATACAAAAACAACTGAATAGTTGAAAAATACCTAACAGCTCTTAGACTGTCTTAATAAATGAATACTAACGTCTATTTAAAGTATGCTAGGTAGATGTGAACAAAATATTCGCTCTATGGAAATCACCAAAGAAATACGGTACAAAATGAGGAATATTTGGTTACATTCAAATGTTCTAAATCTACATTCATCTTTACCTTAATGCAATCAAAATATTTCTAAGACAGACACCAAGGATAAACATTTCACACTGTGTAGCTTGAAACACTGCAAGTTGAGACATTGTTCTGCATGGAATTACAATATGCATTTCAATTACTAGTATTTAACTGAGGTAGAAAAGGTTATTCTGTGGTTAAAAATTGGACAGCGGGGAGGTCATTTCAACTGTGTTAGTTAAAAGCAACGGCCCAATAAGCAACATATTTTTTATAATCCATTAGACAATGACTCCATTTGGTAAAAGACCTAACATATTTTAACAGATGAGGGCACTATTTCACACTACTTGGCCATTCACATTCTCACACCAGTGGCATCACCGGGAACAATCAGGGGTTCAGTGTCTTGCTCAACACTTCGACACGTGGATTGGACAAGCCGGGAATCAAACCGCTAATCCTCTGGTTAGGAGATGACCCGCTGTACCTCCTGAGCCACAGCCATGTTATGTGTTTTAGTGGAACATATAGGACTGAAGTACAACTTTTTTTCCTGAACAAGACAGGAATGTCAGGTTTTCTGTCCAAATCATGCAATTAGTCATTGAACAATAATAACATGGATTCACATTTGAATTATTTATTCATATAAAGTTTTCAGCATGTGTCTATACTGGGCCCACATTGCGATGTTTGTAAGAGAGTCTTGCTGGGTGAGGGTCAAGATTTTATTACCTGGCCTGAGTCATAAACCGGAGTAGGGATTGCATAGCTGGAATGCAAAGAAGTGTGTCCTGGGGAGAGGGTTAGTGTCCTTGGGACATTCAATGGGAGGATGAATCTCCTTTCATTTTTTTAATCAAGAAACATATGTGGGCCACAGACATGGTGACTCTGAGTGTTTATTTTAGCAGATTACCTCTCCTCTGAGGTGCTAAAAATGCCCCTGTTTAGTGTGATGGAGAGTAGGCCATAACATACAAAGGCCTCTGTATTCTCTCCTTGTGTCTGTGAAGGCCTTGTGTATAATAAGACTGGGGGAGAAGTGAGGTTAGTTTGGTCCATCAGAGACTGCTGTCTGTGTTTGTTACATCCCTCCACTTTGGAACAATAGGTCCAGTCCAGTGAATTGCTGGTCCACAGAGAGTCCACAGAGACAGCAGCAATGAAGGGGAGGCAGAGGCAGTTCCTATTAAACAGGCTGGCGTCTCAAAAAAAAAAAACCCACACAACTAAATAATGAGGGCCTCTAATGTGGGTAAATAAAGTGATTAAGCCTTAATAAAAAGGGAATAAGAGTAGTGTTAGGTATTTTTAGTCAGATAGATATTGGATAGATACTTTATGTATTAGAAATGTTTAGTGGAGATAGGATGTCTAGTTAGACTGTTAAATGCTTAGGCATGCTTATGAGTTTCTACAGGGTACATCTGGTCAAGGATAACTAGAGAGAAGAGTTGATGACTGTCAGCAGACAGG